CGAAGAGAATGACATTGGTCCCGCCGGAATCGGAAAAAGTTCATTTTCCGGCGACTTTGACCGGCAGGCGGCGGCGGCGGGGCCTAGAAGAAAAGAAAAGAAGAAATGGGGTCAAATTGAAAATTTTAAAATATATAAAATTCGAATTTGGCCCTAATGACCGGAAGTTAACCTAGAAACGGGCTAATGGCTCATTAGTGAAAGGATTGTGTAAGTTCAGGGATTTTTGTGAAAGGATTTGAAGTTGAGGTACCACTTCGAAATTCTAGCTAAAGTTCAGGTACCATTACTGAAATTTACCCGGAAATTCTTAGGTCTCGTTTGGTACACGGAATTCAAACTATGCAATTTGAATTGAGGATTTTAATTCCAATTCTAGTGTTTGGTATCACAAAAATTATGTGGATTTGAAATTGACATGCAAAAAAGGAATTGGAATTGGTGAATTCAATTCTATGGAATTTAATTTCATGGAATTTCAATTCTAATTTCATCAATTCCGTATACCAAAGAGACCCTTAGGGTACTTGTTGGAATTTAGAATATGTTTGGTTTGTGTAGATAAAAGTTTTATTAGATAGGTAAAGGTAGGTAATTGAAAATATGTAACTGAAGGTAGGTAAAATAAAATAATGAGTTAAAAATTTATGTTTGAATGTTTATTAGGTAACGTGAGGGAGGAAAAGAATACAATTACTGAAATACCCGTGTGGTTGTTTTTCTTTATTTGTCTAAGATGTATTTATATGAAATTGTCTTTCACATTATATTCTTACTAGTTTTTACCCCGTGTTTTGCCCGGGCTTTTATATTCGTACGTAAAATATATATACAAAATTATTTTTACATCATTTCTAAACACTTTTTTCATTTAATTTATTTAAATTTATTTAAATTTTAAATATAAAATTTAAAGATTAAGTAAACACTATAGGACGAAACTTTTAAGTAACATCATTTTATATAAATGCAAATATTCAAAATTTAGTTGTCATACATTTCATAATAAAATAATCAACCATATCGTTCTTCCACACATCAAAAAAAGGACAATGACTTCAAATGTAACATATGTTCAGAAAAAACAACGACGTATTAAGACACAAGGCTTATGATAAATAAAATAGTGACCACTTTAGATTTCTTCCTTGTTCAGAACATCGTTGAGAAAACTTTCACGTACTTTCTCCGACAATCCAATAATTGCTTTCACAATCACAAGTTTCTCTAAAAGGAACACTACAAGAATTTGTCTGGTGTGGAACGGATTTCTGCTACGAACCACTTTCCGTAGCAGATCTGCAACGAATCAGCGACGGAAGTTTAATTCTTGAAAAAAACGCAGCATCTGAGACGGAGTTTATTTTTCTGTCGCAAATCCGCGACGGAATATTGTCTCCTGTCGCAAAATCAAGTTGGTCAAATTTTGACCTGGTTATCTGCGACAGACTCTTAATTCCGTCGCAGATTCGTCGCAGGAAATTACTAAAAAATTGAGATTGGTTTTTTCCTAGCCATTCGTCCGTCATTCTACCCTAATCCCAACCATTGTTGGAGAAGCCGGTTTGTAGCAGCCATAACTCCCTCCCTTTAGAACTTTCATTGAGAATGAACACACCCATTATAAACCTTCCAAATTGTCCAAGATAATAAGCCAGGAAGCACAAACCAAATATGGCCCAGGATGCTGCTTTTATTAGAGGAGAACCACCAACTGAGGAGCATTTGCTGGAATGATAATGGCCCTGCTGCAATAGGAGCTCTAGCAGCTGCTGCATATAAACTCCAAAGGCCAGAAATCTCTCTACATGTAATCAAAATATGGTGATCATCTACTCCATTCTCTAAACAGAAAGGACATATTGCAGCCACATTAATCTGCAATCTTTGGAGATGACATGGGAAAGGCAGCAAACTATTGACTCCCCTCCAAAGAAAGAGGCTCACTTTACCAATATTTCTGTGATCCCAAATATAAGAGCAAGACAATTGTTTAGGTTTATGTTCATAAGATGCAGAATAAACCTTCCCAAATGAATAAGCCCCATCTACCCATACAACTCTCCCTTGACTGGAAATGCACTGAGGAATCATAAGAGAGTGTACTCTACAAATTGATCTCCATGTAGCAGAATCATAAACCTTGGACTGAAACGAACCATCCTTGTAGTACTTCTGTTTCATATAAGATCTCCAAAGTGTTCCACCCTGCTGTACCTTCCACCATAGGTCCATAGCAGCAGCTCGTCGACAATTACCATACCAAGATCCCTTACCCCTAAACCTCCCTCCAGCAAGGGGAAACACAACTTATCCCACTTTCTCCAATATTTGAAACCCATATCCTTGGCTCCCTAGAAGAAATTAGCCATTAACATATGAAGAAATTTAATAATAGATTTAGGTATCTCCTGCACAGCCACAATATGTAAGGGATTGGATGATAAAACATGCTTGATCAAAATAAGTCTCCCCATCTGGTTAAGCTTTCTACTATACCAAGCAGTAATCTTCTTCTCAAACTTCTGGAGCAGATTTTGGCAATGGACTTTCCTTAGTTTTCCTCTAATAATAGTAGAGCCAAGATATGTGAATTCCCATGTATGACATTGGATGCCAAGAATACCTCTAATTTTGGCTCTGAGCTCCTGCCTCAACTTAGCATGAACAATCACCTGGCTTTTATGAAAATTTTTAGTCTGTCCAGATGCTTTCCCAAAGGTTGAAAGAGCAGCTTTCAATCTTAGAAGATAACTACAGTCAGCCTTTGTGAAAATAACTATGTCATGTGCATAAAGTAAATGACTAGGGGCCATAGTCCTACCTAAGGAAAAACAGGCCAACTTTTTAGTGTGAGCCAAATGATTAAAGTACATGGTGAATCCTTCCATGGCCAGAATGAATAGAAGAGGAGACAATGGATCACCCTGCTTAACCCCACATTTCATAGGGAAAAATCCTTTAGGCTGCCCAGGCCATTTACCAAAACTGAGAAAAAAGTAGACTTTAAATTTCCCATCAGAAGATTGACAACTCTTTGAGAAAATCCAAACTTAAGCAAAACCTGTTCCGGATATCTCCAAGAGGTTTTGTCAAATGCTTTAGAGAGATCCAGCTTAACAATACAGTTGCCCCCTCTTGCATTTGAAGACAATAGATGCACCATATCCTTCACCAACAACACATGTTCATTTATACTCTTTCCTTGTTGAAAGGCTACCTGCTCTGGAGATATCAAAGAGGGAAGAACTTTCTTCAGTCTTTCACTAAGTATTCGAGACAGAAGCTTGCTAAAAAAAGGTGGACAAGGAAATAGGTCTAAACTGGTCCAGTGTAATAGCTCCCTCCACTTTAGGTATAAGAGTGATGAGAGTACTCCCAAAAACCTTGGGTAAAGGGATACCCAGAAAAAACTCCTGCACAGCCTTAACAACATCAATCTTAATGACATCCCAAGCTTGTCTGAAGAACAATCCATTAAAGCCATCAGCACATGCAGTGCTATTAACATTTAATGCCCAAATAGTTTTCTAGATTTCCTCCTCATCTAGAAAAGATCCAAGCATGACATTATCTTCAAATGAAAGGACAAAAGGAATATAGTTAAGATCTCTCCCATATCCCCATCATGAATGTGAGAGAACACTTTAGTGAAATGATTTACATCAGCCTTTGAAATTTCATCTGAAGAGGTAATTATAGACCCAACATCATTTTTAAGAGAAGAGATAAAAAGCCTATTTCTCCTTCCCTTCACAAAAGAATGAAAGAAAGCAGTAGAGGCATCCCCTTGAGCAATCCATTTTACATTAGCTTTCTGGGACAAGAAGGCTTCCTCATTTTTATGCACTTACTGCAAAAGAGATATTGCTAAATTACATTTGTTGAGTGTGAAGCCAGGAAGCTAGGTGGAAGCTAGCAGGAAATTTGCAGGAAGCTACCTAGAAGCTTACGGCTTAATCATTGTCTCCCTAACTAATCTCTATTTAAGAGATGCTAATGTGATTGTAATTGTGGTGCAACAAAAGTAATAAAATCCTCCTAGTTGCCCTGTAACACCCCAATTCATATAACCCGGAATTATACGAATTAAGGTGAAACGAGAGTTAAATAAAAATTTCACTTGACATTTGGAAATGACAATTTCTAATAAATATTAAATTTACAGACTCTGGATCGCGACCCATTTAAAAAAAATATTTTCAGAGTAATGCGGAAGTACAATAATAATCAAATCATAAGTATATATATCGAATTGGCGAATACGTTCTTGTCTGGGACGGATCCACTTTCCTGTATGTTTTTGGGCTGGTGATAATTACTTTTTCATCAATGGTCCTGTTTCAGAGTATATATATCGAATTGTGGCAAGAGCGTCTCACATTCTCACATTATGGAAGGAACTTCTCGAGCTCTTCCTAATACTATAAGATTCGTTGG